CTGCAACGGCAGATGTTATGGAGACGGCCGCCCTTCTGAAACGGCTGGTCGACCTCTAGGACGTGGACACCGGACTAGAAACCCAAGAGTGAGGTTTGACCCTCAGACATATGTACCATTAGGAAAACGTCATTAGATTTTTGCCTTTTTGTGCGCCGCGCTATACATTTGCACACGTGTATTGTCTACCTTTTACGTCACGTTAGGGCCGTAACATTGTCCCTTTTGGCCCTTGTCTCTGAAATCGATATTGTCTCGGACGTTTTGACTTATTGCTCTGTTACAGCGAGAAGAGGCCCTGCGGGTCGATCCCGAGGTGCCAATGACATTCCCAACAATGGCTCCCGTCCGCCTCGTCCGTCGTATCCTCCGCCTATCATTACTCAATCGCCCCGACCACCGACTAGACCACAAACCGTAAGCGGTTCGTCCTCATCATACGTCCCGACTTCGGCGCCACCGCGTAGTATGCGTGATCAAGCTGTGATGACTGACGCCATGGTTCCGGCACATGTTGACGACTCGACTGCCCTTACTGCTATTAAGGCTACTAACAACTACTACTACAATGATGCTGATGATGCTTCAATTGACACCGACAACTCCTATGGTCCCGATCAACCAGAAGACGATGAGTCCTTACAAGAATATTTACACGGTCCTCGTCCAGCCTTTGACTACTTTGGATTCCCTGTCGAAGCCCTTTTTCTTACATTAGACGGAAGTGCCGACTCCTTTGAGTTCCACCGTCACCACGACCCTTACCGCGTGTTCGAGCCTCGCCCTTGTCCATTGGTTAGTATTATTCCCCACGCCGATGTCGACATGCATGTCTCTTAACCCCACAAGGTGCGTGATGCTACCGGTGCTCTCAAAGACCTCGGTTGGATTGACGACTTCGACTTGGCCCCAAATACTGACCCTCGCCGCTTTTACTAGTCATGTTATCGGGTCCCCTGATCAAGGTGTTGGTGTCCTTAGAAGGCCTTCATCTATTACTGCGGCTGAAGCTGTTCTATCGAGGTACACGATGATGCTGAGTCGTGGCACTGTTACTCAATGTGACGGTACATTCGGAATGTAACATTCCCTATGCCCTTGGGATGGAGTTTCGATCGCTCCCTGATTAAGCCCTTCGAGATTCATGACGACGAATGGTTTGACCAGTACCCTACTCAAGCATGCTACGACAATGCCCTTGGCAGCTCCTTTTGTGTTGCCCATGATAGGAACCTACGCCTCTACGAAGGTAATCGTAACCCACTCGAACTAGCTCGAGAGTATAAGCCCTTACGGTGAAATGGTCGGTCGGCCGGTTGGTTAGTTGGT